TCTCTCTCTCCCTCCCTCTCTTACTTCTACCTCCAACCTTCTCTCTCTCTCTCTCTCTCTCTCTCTCTCTCTCTCTGTCTCTCTCTCTCTCTATCTCATATATACCCACACAAGACCAGAGATATGCCCTCGTTAGATTGATCATTTTAGACCCATAATTTAAAGATCATTACCATTAGACATGTGTCTCTTTACTTTTTGTACAAAAATATAATTGGGCATTTTTCTCTTTACTTTTAATACCATTGCTTTTTTTCTTACCTTAATTGATCCTTTTAACTTCACACTTTATTTGTATTTCAGTTGTGTTTTATTCGTTAAGTCTTCAGAACATATTTATAGATGTACGATTCTTAATAAATAATTTAGTATTATTATTCCATTATGTAAAATATCTCGCCACACTGATACTTGGAGGTTGCATGACTGAAAATTAATACACGCTAACAGTTCTTATCGCTCGGCATTTCTATCCATTAATTTAATGTTTTTTTTTGCGGTCTGATATCGAGTATAAATTCAACTTACAATTCAGCTCCTACATCATTCCGAACACAAATTTAATTATCGCTGAAAGATGAAGGTATTTTGTGGCATGGTACTGTTTGCCTGTGTGGCAATAGAAGCCTCGCAGGCAGCCGCTCTTTTAGGCGGAGGTGGATTCCCGTTTTTTAGCGGCTTTGGAGGCGGCTTTGGAGGCGGTTTTAACAGAGGCCTTGGAAACATCTTTGGAGGCGGTTTTAACAGCGGCCTTGGAAACTTCTTTGGAGGCGGTTTTAACAGCGGCCTTGGAAACCTCTTTGGAGGCGGCTTTAACAGCGGCTTTGGAAACATTTTTGGAGGCGGTTTTAACAGCGGCTTTGGAAACTTCTTTGGAGGCGGTTTTAACAGCGGCCTTGGAAACCTCTTTGGAGGCGGCTTTAACAGCGGCTTTGGAAACCTCTTTGGAGGCGGTTTTAACAGCGGCTTTGGAAACCTCTTTGGAGGCGGCTTTAACAGCGGCTTTGGAAACCTCTTTGGAGGCGGTTTTAACAGCGGCATTGGAAACCTCTTTGGAGGCGGTTTAGGGAACCTCTTTGGAAATTCATTTTTCGGCGGCTTTGGAAATCCATTTTTCTTTGGAGGTGGATTCTTTTGATAATTTAGAGGTGGATTTTTAATCGGCTTTGGTAGGTACTGTTTAAATTATTAGCATTACGTTAAAAAGCACCGAAAAAACCTTTATACCAGGCCTATATATATATATATATATATATATATATATATATATATATATATATATATATATATATATATATATATAAACTAAATATTGTTAGAGACTAAAGATATGATGGTGTGTGTCAGCCCTTATCTTCTCTGACTATTTAAAAGGCCACGGTGCTGTTTGAACGCAAAGAATCGAAATCAAAAATTTATTCATATCCTAGGCTTAACTTCAGTACGAACAAGTACACTTAAAGGGATAATAACTCTTCGTTTTGGCCAAAAAATGAATTTTCCTGGAGTAAATAACAATTTTCCCATACTTACCAATGGTTAATGAATCCATTTCTACATTCGAAGTTAGTCCCTGTTTTTTTTCTAAAAAGTTTGGTTTTTTGTTAAAATCTCTTAAGAGATTACAACAGAGTAGTACAATGGAGGTCACGTAGTCTGAAGACAAGCTCAGATATCAGAATAATAGCTTTAACTCCTGTTTTTGTCGTAAAACAGAATATGTTATATTTCTATGAGTTATTCACAATGTTTTTATTGTGAAATATAGACCTCATACGAAGAGTTATTATCCCTTTAAAGTTTAAAGTTTGCTTTAAAATTCAGAGGAAACCAACTTACTTGTCAGTTTTCTACACAGTTCGTGCACTCGTTGCAATGCATTTCACCGGTAATTGAGCCTTGTGTCGTGCAATCACTGTACAGATTCGAAGCCGACCCCCCCTCCCCCTCCCCCTCTGCCGTAGGGTTTGGCGCCCGCTGACAGGGCCACGAAAAAGTTTGGCATTGTAGAGGGTGAACGGTGCCATTTGGTACGGTTTAGAACTATGATTCAACTAGTGAAAATCTAATTTCAAGAGAGGAATAATATTGTGATTTTTATTAGAAATTGAAGGGGGGGGGGGTGTCAGGACACAGGACACATCAACTGGTGATACGGAAGTCACTACATGTACGCCTGTGTTCGTTATATTTTTTTAGCTTGCATGAAATTATCTGTACTTTTATTTTAATAAAGTGCTTATATTTCCTACAGGTTTTCAAAAGTGAAGCACCAAGACAAGATTACAAACCAGTCAAAGATGTAGACAATTGACCACCGATACTGCAAAAAGATTACACTCACGCCAAGTTGAGACTTTTAATTCATACTGAACCCATTCTTGACCACTGAAGATAAGAAATCAAGCTGCGGATGGCTACTGAACTCTTTCTCTTTTTCTTTAACATTTTGGAAGACATTAAATATTATACTCAGTTTCGGCGGAGATATTTACAAGGAACATTGAACTTCTAACACGTGTCAAGGATATTTTACTAGTTGTTACAGACTTTGAACAGATTATTATTAGTATTATTTTGCAAACTGTGCAAGGAAAATGTACGAAAGCAAGAAACAGAACGGATATTTGTCCCCTATCTTGAATATAAGTTTCGTGTGTTCAAAATTAAAGTTGTAGTCTATTTGTTTTAATTCACAGCAAGAAAACGACGGTTAGAAACCAAGCTGCAACATGGTCGACTAAATGAGTCTTTCAGAAGCTGCTAACGCTTTTTATGTCAAGTTAACCTCCATGAGCAGAATATTGAGAACCAATTGTAGTGATCGCTTTCGAAATGATGTACTTCAAACAGTAAATCGTTATTTTAAAAGGATACAAAAGCGAAAACTGAACAAAGGTGTTTGTGTTTGTGATATTTGTGATATCTGTTCAATATGACGGGGTAGACGGTCTCAGTGGCTTCTTGATCGTTAATAATTTGCTAATTGTATGGATAATCTTTGGGAGCAGTTTGATGTTTATCTATTTTGTAGAAAAAATTAAATCTTTTTGGTATCACTTGGTATGTAGGCCTATACTGAATGACAGTAACACAACACTGGTCTGATTTTTTTTCTGTCTGCACATGCAACTAAAATAATTTATTTTCGGATTAGAAATGTTAGCAGTTCGGTATCTTTGACAAATCATGTGTTTGCAGTTTTTGTGGTACCGCTTAAGTGATGCTGAAGAGAGCAGTCTTACCGCATTAAAAAATTCATTCGGCACGATAAAACGAAATCTTAGTTTCAGAATGTATGTTTTGGCTTGCTTTCTATTTTTGTACTATTGAAAACGTGGTCACAATAAAAAGAAGAGTCCTGAGCGTCCTATTCTTTCCGCCTATAAGCTCATATACATTGCTAGATAGTCTTATTACTGGGTTGTTATGCCTCGGATCATTGTGATTTTTTTTAATTTGAGTTCGGGCCTATTGTGACGGCTGCACACGTTAGAATAGAACGCCCAGACCAACAACATGCGCGAAAACACTCACAAGTCAAACCTTAAATTGAATTGAATCTTCAGGAAAGGTTTTAGAAATACACGTTCACTAATTGCAATTTGAGTAGTTTTGGAATATTTATAATCGTCCTCCTTCGTACTTCAGATTTCCTGCAAACTCCTCTTCTCCAGTTCGTAGCAACACTTAGACTAAAAATAAAGAAAAAAGTTGCAAAAATTAAAGCGTTCATTCCAAAAGACATGCCTTTTCAGCCCTTAGTTTTCCACACGGGCACACTCGCACGCGCACACATACATGTAGAAACGCATTCACGCATGCGTCTTAGAAGTTCTATTCGTAATTACTCTGATTTATGTCTGCTAATTGATTTAAATAAAAGAGGAATTTATATCTGAATGCAAAAATAGAAATTAAGCGAGTATATCGTAAAGTTTTACTTAAGCATGTACTCATCATTGACATTAAGTCTACAAATAATTCGTATGCATCATATTCCTGCACCATCGCTTTAAATACCCTAACAGAATGAAAACCTATCAACTGCTACGTTTACGAAACCTCGGTAATAAATAAGTTATCGTAATGAAGCATTTATGAAGATCTACAATAAGGGTGTAACGTCTTTATAGCATAGATCTTCATAGGATAGGGTGTTACATCTTTATAGTTGATCTTCATAGACGCATCAATTCATAATGATAACTTATTTATTTCGTAAAGATCTTTACGGTAATTTGACATGAATCTTCAATGTAATCCCGGTATAAGTGAATCGTGTTTCTTGATAGATGGCAAAACGACAAGTTACCAGAAAGCTAAATCATTATTACCGCCACCGCCCAAATATTACTCTGGTATGTTCAGTTCGGGAATATTAATTTCGGGAATATGTTGAGTCCGTCTGCATGCGAAGGAATGATACACAGTAGCAAGTCCATCATTAAATATTGACACAAAGGTAAGTCGTTACGATTTTATAAATCGTACATTAAATTGGAATGAAGAAAAATTTTATTAAATAAATCTTTAAGGTTATAATGTGTAAATGTCTTGGGAAACTACTGTAAAGTGTGGCGGATTTTGTAATTATTTCTAATGTCGTCCGCTAGCTACTGAGCAACACCTCGCAACAGCTGGGAGAACGGGTTTTGTCTACTATTTCTTACCTTATCCGGGGAATAGTCCGGGTCCGCCGGTTGCTGGCGCAGTGCCCGGTCCACCAATAGCATTTAATATCTGGGCAAGAATAGCCGGAGTCAAAGCTGAAAATAAATGTATTATTTTAATAATTTAACAATTAAAATTGTGCTGAGAGATTTTCTTTCCCATAGTGAATCTTACGTTGCTCCATTTTTCGTTCGTATTCCGGACTTCTAAACGAATTAGGTTTTCGGGCCTCTTATTTGTGAACACGAACACTCAAGTTACTGACTCAAACCGCGATTTCATGACACTAACGTAAAATTAGTGATTACGAGCAATGCGTTAAAAACCACGAACCATTAATCTGCTTAACTGGTCAATTGCACCTTGTGATACGTCGAAGAACTCTGCGATGGAATAATTGAAAATCCAATGATATCAGAAATATCCTGTCTTGTTTCATATCAAAAATGCACCAATATTTCCAAATATTTCTTACCTTGTCCACCTGCAGCCGCCCCAGGGGTTCCAGCGCCAACAGCCGC